AATACGCCACTTGAATGACGCTCGTACTCAAAGTAGTCATCGAATTAGACAGATAATTTCAAAATACTCAAATTCAAGTTTAAGTCAATTCGACATGATCGGTATCTGAGCCTGCTCGCGTTGCCTTTTTCTGGCTTACTATTCCATTATTCGTAATTATTTTTCAGCAGAAGTTCTGACTCAAGGAATTTGTCGCCACTATCACTCCAAAAAGATAAAATAAACAAACATATAAAAATGATGTCACATTTTTTTATGGTTAAAAGAGAATAATTAGCTATTGCTTAGGTACGTTAAAATAATGGAGCGACTAGCAGGGAGTAGCGCCGACGAACGACAAATCGCTCCTGTTCCAAGTTCACTGTTGATTCGCTTCAGAAATGATCTATTTAAAGGCTAGGTTTTTTTGAAGAATACCACACCAAGATTCTCTCAATGAAGATTTTAAGTAAACCTCTGATTGACTGGCTAGGCAATAAAATTAAAGACATCAGAAATAGTTCACAACAATGTTTCGACTTTGAAAATTCTCATGAAGAATTCTCGTGTTATAATTCTAACGACTTTTGGAACTAAGCAAAATCTAGAATCAGATAGGGTGTAAATCAAAGAGAATGATCTTATGCTGAAAAAGAACTAAGCATGGCAGCGATTAGTCGCGAGTGGCGGTGCTCTGCAAGTTCCCTGAAGGAATGCCTCAGGTTGTTGTAATCCATCGGAAAAACATCTAAGGGTTAGATCTAGCAGGTTCAATAGGAACCAATACTGGCAAAAAAGACTAGCAAGCATTTTCAAATGAAATGTGAGAACAGTTGTGCTGCACGTGCATAGTATTTTAATAGAACATTCGGCGGAAAACATCATGCAAAGAATTTAGCTCAGTTCATTCGAAGTAGATTTGAATGAAATAAAATAAACTTTTCTGTCATTGTGTGTTCGTGTCTGTGTGCATTTACTTGTCTAAATTTATTTGAGTATTTTGAAATTATCTGTCTAATTCGATGACTACTTTGAGTACGAGCGTCATTCAAGTGGCGTATTCCGAGAATAAGTCTGATCTAATATGATTTATTTTAATCCAAAAGTTTAGCTAAACACATGTTTTCGTAGCTGAAGCTAGCGAATGATATTGTCGATTGATGTGCTGGTAACTATACGGATTTTTATTAGTTTTCAAGAAGTATGATGCGTTTTCACACTAGTGTTGCGGATGTGCTGTCTTTGTTGATTCTCTCTCTGCATATTGAATACAATCTCTTTTCTCGAGGCATGTGGATACTGCAGCCTTAATGTTGTTCATTTAGATTTGCGTTGAATATTATTGTGTGCGTCTCAGTTTGGTTGGATGGACTCATAGGAAAACTTATCACACAAATACACATGCCATCGTACAGAAGGACATTGATGCGAATGTCAATATTCACATTCACACGGACTCTTTTCAAACGTTCGATACTATTTTTCTTGAGGACTGCGAAGCAGTATACAAAACTGAAACAGCTGAATATTCAATGGAGAGTCAAGTGAGTCATACAGATGATAATTTTTTGTGCATAGCTCCAGAGCTGTTCAATGCCCGTGTGGATAGACTTGGCACAATAGTTGTACCAAATCAAAGGGATTCATCATTTCCAGCGCGGCATTGAAGCACTGGTTCTTCTTCGAGTTCAAAAATTGAAATAAAACTTTTATTCAAGCATTTTATTGACGTTATTCATGATCACCACTATCATTGATTTCTGTCTCATGTTC